TGTCGCTCGAATAGACAAAGAGGGACTGAGGTGGCGGCCAGTCCTGCCACCATAGGCAATTACATGTCCCTAAAATATACCGTCCTTCTGGAAGGAAGAGCCGAGGTGTGACTATGAAACATAGACGCCTTGGAGATTGAAGGAAGCCTTCATCAAAGCGTCCTTCATCCTTAAGATAAGGACGGACTATGAATACAGCTGTAGGACGGTAACTACGAATTTCCAAAAATTGAGATATTAATTAGTCAACGAGGAGGATGCCATTCCTAATAACGAAAGCGAAAAATACATGAGCAATACATGGCCGAGAAAAGAAATATCGAGAGTTGAAATTCAATATAATAAAGCGACATATAACGCCGGAAAAAATATAAAAGCCAAAAAGATATTCGATTAAAACAACCAGACAGACTCTACGGGGAAACGGCCAAGTCGGAGACGTCGGGGCCCTAGGTGTTTCCACGTGGTCGAGAAGAGGATCGGTAACTTAAAAAATATCCGACAATTCCAAAGCACTAAATTACAGCAACACGCAATTATTTACTATATATTCGATACAATAGATACTCTACGATAATAAAAGAAAATCTGAATAAGATAACGGTATCCGGCACTATCGTTCTTTTACTTAGAGGGACTGGAAAGACATTCAGTCCCGGTAAGCGAGAAAATTTGCCGTCGAGACAAACAGCCTAGACGGGATTACTTCAATTAAATTCACAAAATCTCCACAATAAAGGTAGCGAAAGGGTCTCACCCACTATATAAGATATGAAACCCAGAAAAGAAGGCGAGTTCTCGATATAATATTCGTCCTTCAATATTTCCTTCCTTCAATATAATATACAAGATAAATCGGATATCGGCTGCTCTTAGTTCACTGGTACGGATTATTTCACGCGACCACCAGCTGAGATGCTCCAAACGTAAGTGAACGAGCCAGAATTCGTCGCTAGAGGAAGAGCCCTAGGGGCCCCCCCTCCATAAATTAATGATTCCTAATTCGAAGGGTAGAGCGATAGCAAAATATAATAATACCAAAGAGGTAAATCTAACGCTTGACGGTAGCCAGAGATGAAGCATTAGGCGGCTCGAGTCCGAAGATAGGCGGAGAGGGCTGAGTTGAGCGCGGGAGTACTTTGTGCGGCCGATCGTGAGTCCTCGGTGCGAGCAGCAGGATCCAGCGAAAAGTAGGCCCTGGTTTCTTCTCCGGGGGCCACTGATAACAGCAGCGCTAGGGAACGTTCGACGACTGGGCGGCACGATAGAGGATTATCTTTTCCTCCTATCGGCGGCACGAGTGTTGAAGGCCCTTTTTTGCGGTCCGTATGGGTGGCCGGCAGAAGTATTAGAAGGATCCCATCCCGGGTCTCCTTGGCTCCACGGAAGTCCTCCGGAACGAACAGCAAATTGGTCCAGCCTCTGTCGATCGCTCGTCCGGTAGCTCAGGAACTCTCGTTGGCGGTCAGCTTCGTGCTCGTGGTGTTGACGTAGATTTGCCCCGGACGGTAAAGAAGGTAGGCCAGTACGAATAGGAAAGCTCAAAAATAAAAAATAAAAAACTAAAAAAGCAGAAAGACGGAATAGAAATAAGCAGAAAGGACGATAAGCGGAAACAGAGTGCTTAAACGGTAAGCGAGACAAGCAAAGCCGTCTTTGGGAATGTCGGGTGACTGACGTTTGGAGGATCGTTGCAGGTGGATTGTGTCTTTTCCTTATTCCTAGCAATCTTTGTGACTGAATTTCCGAAATTCACGTCACACTAAGTACTGGATATGGAAGTTCAGGGTGTCCACGTGTTCCACTCCGTAGTTTCTTGTATCTAGGTGTTAGATGTAGAAGTCCAGGGTGTCCAGGTATTCCTCTCCGTAGTTTCCTGTGTCCAAGTGTTGCACGTGGAAGTCCAGGGTATCGATAAAAGTGTGCAACGAGCGACGCTTTGGCGCTTAGCTCAAACTATATTATCCTCTCTGTTGTTCGCACCGCCTGAGATACGTAAATAATCCAGCACACTCTCCACTCTTACGTCTACCACACGGCTTCAACAAGCTGGACACCATTAACGATGCTTATATGCACTGAAGATTACATTTTCATTAAAAAATTTGTATATATCTTTATGCATTTCTAAAAGAAAGGGACTTACAAATTATATTTATATGCCATTAAATATATTCGACGACGCAATATATTTTTCTGATTAGTGACATCATAATACATTTTATATCTGTAAAAATATAGATTTCAATGCTTAGAGCTTCTATGTCCCGTTGAGCAACAAAAACTTGTGATATCCCCCAAAAAACACTTACGTGTAAAAAACTACGCCAAGTACAGGAGTGCTGTGTATTCCTCTAATAAAAAGTATTGATATCAGATTATTGAGACCAAGTACATAAGTCACTACATGTTAGCCTATTATATGATCTAGCACTGGCCCATCATTTTATTTGTATTTTCAAAATTTCTTATAACGTTTTCCCTACTCTTTTACATTACTACTGCTTCCCGTAGTTGATTATGATTTAATGATCATTTAATAATTAATATAACTTTAGGTGATTTCTTATCGAGTACTACTTGGCGGGTCCGTGCATTTCTTGACATAAATTTACGTTCATTATGCCAGTCATTAAACTCGAAACCAAAGTCAACTTTCTATGTAGAGCTTATTAACAATAACTCGTCAGAAATAATCACGGTAAAAGCTTAATAACAACCATATAGTTTTAGGATACTATTAGTAAGTTCAAAGTAGTACTTTGGAATTCCTGGCACGGACCCGCCAAGTAGTACTCGATAAGGAATCACCTAAAGTCTTATTAATTATTAAATGACCATTAAATCATAATCAACTATGGGAAGCAGTAGTAAAGTAAAAGAGTAGGGAAAATGTTATAAGAAATTTGAAAATACAATTAAAATGATGCGCCAGTGCTAGATCATATAATAGGCAAACATGTAGTGACTTATGTACTGAGACGTTTCGTGACTTTTGTGTGCTAGTAATCACGAAACTTTTTGTAGGGTTTGTGCACTGGGCAGGCGTCTTTAGAAACAATTTAGACACTGGAGGTTTTAAAAAAATAAAATAATGATATATTGTCCTATAAATTACAGACTAGGTATCCTTAATCTTCTATTTTGCTCTCTCTCACACACATGCACACACTTTACAATTGTCTCTAGCTTGCCTGTAATACCACAGGCGACAAGAAGTGTTTTTGTTTACTTTATTCTCTCTGCTAGCCTTTTGGATTGGAGAGAAGTAGCTGGAACCACAATACAGCAGATTGCACAATGCGTCCAAAGACCGTGTTTCAGCTATTGGTTCGGATGATAATGATTCAGTACCCACAGGAGATCACAATGAACCCCGTTTGCTGAATCCCTTATCTTAGGGATAGGTTCGACTCAGACAGCTATTAATCACAATGATATTGGGAGCTGAGCTTTTTAAGGAGTGTGGTTGTTCTGTAGTGGTCGATTTCTGACAGCTCCAGCACAATGCCTTTGATGCAGAATATCTACAAGGATGGCAGATTTCCTGATACAGGGTGGAGACACAATGCTTTCCAAGACCAGGATCTGCCGAGGATGAGTTCCCACAGTTTGCAGTACAACACTGTTCACTGGTTCGCTTTGGAACAGAGGATTGGTTTTCTCCTAGCTTTTTGATAATTTACACTTTCCAAATCTTTACTGGCTTCTTGTCGTCTTGTGGTGTACAAGGGTCTTGTCAATTCGTCTAGATAGATACGAGTGGACCGACTGATGATCCTATCGAGGAAGCCGCTGCTTATATCCTCGGTAGGAATACGTTAAAACTAGTGGGGATAACGATTTTTATCCACCCGAGGTGTTAACGTCGCTTTTTGGGTTCAATATTTTAATCTACGGTTTGATTTGATTATTTGTTTTGACTGATTCGATTAGCGGTTTTCTTCCAGTACCGGCTTACTTTTATTTCTATTGTATTCGGCGCGTGCCAGCTTATAGCGTCTGGGCACTTGTTTGTTTTGATTTTAGTCTGTCGACTGTATTTCGAATTCTAGGAATGTTAAAGGTAATAATTTCTAATATTATATCCTCATGACTGTCGCTGTGACTAGATTCAAGGGAATTCTGCAATATTAGAGAATTAAAGGTCCTATATTCTCTTTCCTTTATCGGCGTCGCTGTGAGAGGTCGATAGGATTATTGAAGAATTCTAGGATTCGAGGAGTTCTCTCAGATACTGTTATGCACATCCACAATGCGCTATGCACTCTTATGTGGGGCTCTTGACGTATCCATCATCGAGAATGATTATTGGGAAGGAAAAAGGATAAAGGATAGGGGGGTATAAGGTCGGAACGTTACAGTACTTGACGTCAATAATCTGATATCAATACTTTTTATTAGAGGAATATACAGCACTCCTGTACTTAGCGTAGTTTTTTACACGTAAGTGTTTTTTTGGGGGATCGAGTACTACTTGGCGGGTCCATACCAGGAATTCCTATGTACTTACATTGAACGTACTAATAGTATTCTAATACTATATGTTTATTATTAAGCTTTTACCGTGATTATTATTAATGAGTTATTGTCAATATGCTCTATGTGGAAAGTTGACGCTGGTTTTGAGTTTGAACACTGGCATAATGAAATACGAAAATACGAAATTCGTTGGAAGATGATACCTCCGATGACAACATGTGTAAAGACCGACTCTGTCTTCATTATGTATAAACTATTACTGTAACAAAAATTCAAATCCTTAATGTTAAAAATGTGAATTATGATGTTTATTTATATTTTATTAATTCCATTAATGATATTTTTATTACAATATTTCAGTGGCTTACCAATTGTCTTAGTACTCCAAATACTCTACTTTCAATTCTGTCAAAAATGTTAATGGTTTGAATTTTAAATTTAGTTTATTAATGCAACTTTATAAAAATTAATGTAAATACTTGTTGGATTTGTTTTAAATAGATATATTGACATTTCAGGTGACAAAACGTTAGTGCAGTCATTAGTTTTGGACGCGCTCGTGACGGATGGATTTGATAAGAGAGGTGGTAACGGAATGCGCAAGGAGGACAATCAGAAGTAAGTACACTCTCAAACATACAGTACGAAAAAAATTTTAGCACGTTCTCTTACAAACACTCAATTGTCAGGGCACTGTAATGCACAAGCACATAATCGTTAATTCGACAAGCACCTGCAATTGAATGTCTTGCTATGGGTCCAATCTTGTGTTTGTTTCACATAGAGACTACGGTAGAAAATCACGTAGTCGACATTTGGGAGAGCCACCGTGTTCTTGTACACATATAATCGTAGTGTAACGCGTAGCAATTGAGCGGCCGGATTCCATAACAGGCTCAACGCTTGGACTCAGTCCCCTCCATAGCACCATACATTCCGAACGTGGAAATTTTACCATAAATTTCCAAAGTTGAAATTTCCTTATACAAAAAATACCAGCGTGTCCAGCTCGATTGGGTGCACATTTTTTACATTGGAATATATATAGCTAGGATTTTTAGTTTTCTTAAAAAAAATTAAAAACTTGTTTTTTTGCCGATTATGAAAATCAACATTCTTTTATATTCAACTCGCGACCATTTCGTTAATAATTGATCGATCGTTTTGATTCTTTTTTCCTCAAGCAGAAGATACTCTAGCGATGACGACAGTATCGTTACATGATCGGAAAAGCTTTTTTTTATTGCCAATTATTTACTTCTCATCTCGCTTCGCTGACAATTAAATCTCAAAACTTCGATCGAAAAATCGTAGCGACGAAGTTTTTCGAAACATAAAATTGCACATATATTCATGTGCGTCAAGACTTCAGGAAGATTTTGGGAAAGTTTCAGCTGGGAAAGTTGAAAATTGAAGCTTCTACGATTAATTTTTCACAATCGCGCTCGAGCGCGAGAGCGACACACGATGCGCGCCGTGTAGTTGTTGATGAAAACACGTGACGCATCTTTCGTCTTTGTCACTCTGCTACAAAATCGGTGAGCGTCCATCTCTTTCGCACCTTCACCAGACGCCAACTACACGGCGCGCATCGTGTGTCGCTCTCGCGCTCGAGCGCAATTGTGAAAAATTAATCGTAGAAGCTTCAATTTTCAACTTTCTCAGCTGAAACTTTCCCAAAATCTTCCTGAGGTCTTGATGCACATGAATATATGTGCAATTTTATGTTTCGAAAAACTTCGTCGCTACGATTTTTCGATCGAAGTTTTGAGATTGAATTGTCAGCGAAGCGAGATGAGAAGTAAATAATTGGCAATAAAAAAAAGCTTTTCCGATCATGTAACGATACTGTCATCATCGCTAGAGTATCTTCTGCTTGAGGAAAAAAGAATTAAAATGATCGATCAATTATTAACGAAATGGTCGCGAGTTGAATATAAAAAAAATGTTGATTTTCATAATCGGCAAAAAAACAAGTTTTTAATTTTTTTTAAGAAAACTAAAAATCCTAGCTATATATATTCCAATGTAAAAAACGTGCACCCAATCGAGCTGGACACGCTGGTACTTTTTGTATAAGGAAATTTCAACTTTGGAAATTTACGGTAAAATTTCCGCGTTCGGAACGTATGGCGCTATGGAGGGACTGAGTCCAAGCGTTGAGCCTGTTATGGAATCCGGCCGCTCAATTTCAAGTGAAAATTTAACCATTTCTTTAAGCAACTTGGATAATGAAAAGTACGATTAAGGATAATACAAATTTCTCTGCGTAAATGAATTTTGAAATAATATGAATGAAATTATCATATACTTCTCCAAAAATGCTAATGATTGCTGATATTTATTAATATTCATAGAGGCGCATTATACTCAATTTGCATTAAAGTATTTTGCATTTGCATTTTTAAATTATGAAAGTTGGCTCTCCCAATAGGAATGCGAACCACATTATTGGTGAGAATTGGGGTACAAAAATAAAGCTGTATCGGTTGGAACTACTATTAGTGAGACAATCTGTATTGTACGCTACCTATTCGCTATTTCCTTTTTATATCATTATTGCGCTCATGATAATTTGAACTAAAGACAATGAGTCAGAGAAAACAATTCATATAAATGGGAATATACTAGAGTTGGTATATATATATGTAACTACAAAATTAACTCCTGTCCTGTGTATGACTTCTGAAAACGCAATGGACAACAAATTTAAAAACGAAGGTTCATAGTTTCTGTTCGAATTTTTTCTTGTTCAAAACTATTATTTGAGGTCTTTATTTAATATTGCAATGCAATAAGTCATCATTTTGATTTGCCATAAATAATTAATAACCGAATCACAACAAATTTTGTAGCAGAATTATGATAAAATGATGATGTTAGACTACTAGTAAATAGATATTATTTTGGCTAAGTAAATATTATAATTAGTATATGAATTTTCATGGGTTACTGATATAGTGAACAAATTTTTTATTTTAAAAATCCTTATATTAATTTCAAAGTTTGTATGTAGAGGTTTTTAAGGTTACTGATTTTTATTTTGATGACAAAATTCAAAAATAAAAACAAGTAAAGTCTTAAAAATTACAATTTTGTTTACAATATTAGGTCCGTAATTTCGAATTTCGGAATTTGAACATTAAAATCGTAATTAGTGACCTTAAAAACCCTTATACAGGATATTCCATAACACCTGTTGGAACTTTTAAAGGTGGAAAGTGGAAGATATTTCAAATCAAAAGTTCCTCTTTTATTTTTTTCTCCGATAGCTATTTACCAAATTATGAACAAATGAAGTCAAATAATCACAGAGCGCGCAGACACCACACACAATTCCGGTACAACGTGCGCGGTGCCCCACTCACTGTACAATCATTTGGTTTCTCCAGAATTTTAATGAAATAACATATGAAACGGTTGATTAAGAACAAATTTATAAATAAATGAAGTAATTAACTAAAATTGATTAACAAATAATATAAATATAAAAAATAAAGATAATAGTGAAATTGTAATGCAGTTGAATGAACAATTAGGGAAGAAATACAGTACAATAGGAAAGTGGAGAGAAGTTGGTGTCGGAATAACAATCTCTCATTAGTTACTAATCAATGTTTAATTTATAAGTATTAAATTATTCTTAGAAAGGCCGATTGACTTCGGCTTTAGATTCGAGTTTAAAATGTCCGCACCTGCTGAAGCATTCCTTCATTTACCATGAGTAGGGATCTAAGAAAAAAAAATTTTAATAGCTATAAATAAAACATTATTTAATAACTAAAGAGAGATTGTTATTTCGGTATCAACCCCTCTCCATTCTATTACTTCTTTCCTAATTGTTCATCCAACCGCATTACAATTTCAATAATGTCTCTATTTTTTGTTATTTAAATTACTTGTTAATCAATTTTTGTTAATGATCTTACTTATTTATGAATTTGTCCTTAATAAACCTATTCATAAGTTATACTATTCAAATTTCAGAAGAAACCAAGTGATTGTAAAATGAACAGAGTACCGCGCACGTTGTATCGGAACTGCGCGTGGTGCCCGCGCGCTATGAGATTGGTCGACTTTATCTGTTCATAGTTTGGTAAATAGCAATCGGAGAAGAATGAAATAGGAACTTTTGATTCGAAATATCCTCCACTTTCCATCCTTAAAAGTTCCAATGGGTGTTATGGGACATCCTGTATAAAAATTTCTATGAAGATTTATGTTAGTCCTTCACATTTTTTGCCCGCGTTTCAAATTCTCGTCTCCGAAGTGAAAGGGTTAACGACAAATATTTCACAATATCCTATACTGCAGGATTAAGCAACGAATTAGATCCTAATAATTAGTAGTTTCCCTTTTGACTTTACAAAACTACTTTTATGAGTGAAAATTTAGTGACCGATAAGTGTGAAGACATAAGGCATTTTATACTTCAATTAGATTGCTTCTGCTCATAAACAGTGAAAAACAGTTTAAAAAAACAGACTGAATAACAGTATGAAATATTTTTCATTTCTCTTTTTGTCTTTCAACTAATTAGCAACAGGATTAACCTTTTCGAGAACTTCGGGCGGTTCAAGATTTACTACGTTTAATTCAAGCTCATAGTTATTAATTTATTAATGTTTCATTTGTTGATTGAGTTCCCAAATAGAATTCGTAGTAAACTATACATATAGTAGTATATTATATTAAATTATAGTAAATTATAGTAAATTTCCTCCATTTTTTAAATCAAGACAGTAGAGATGATTGTCTACTAGTTTGTCTCACTAATAGTGTTCTAATGCTGTTGCTAAGTGCTATTACTTATTCTACTATCTGAAAATGTAACACACTTTCGTTGAACGAAAGAATGTAATGGCGACGAACGGAAGTTGCTTTATTAGCTAATATTAGAAAAAAAAGGGTAATAACTTTGCACTAAGCACAAAGCATATAATTTTGTTTATAATATTATAGTTTATTACATATTTTATTACATTTTATTCTGTGTCTCCACCGCTAGCCCCATTGCCATACTGATGGCTCTACTGCACAGGTAATTCATTATGCACAACTATATGTTAAAAATCATACATCAGTATTATATTGTAATGGTTTTTTATAAGGATTCTGCTTCATCTTTTACTGATACTTGTAATTCGATGGTTAATTAGCGATAATGCGGATGGCAAGATGGTTATTTAAAATTTAACTATCATATCATGGAAAAGGCTAAAGATGTTGCACTGATGTGTATACTGACGAACACACTGATTCATTTAACATCATTTTGTATGAAATTTTTTGATGAATTGAAATGGTACACTTATTATCGGAAAATGTATGATGTATTATCCATGATATTTGTATTACATATTATATTTAAACATTCCAATACATATGTGGGATGTGCGTATTGTTTTGTACACTGCCCCCTCCCCCCTTTCTATTCAATCATCAAACACTCACTTTTTTCTATAAGAATTTAACATAACCCACTGCCACTGAAATATATTTAAATAAATTCGATATCCTAGGGTTATGAGGTTTCGAAGATTAGCATAATCTTGCTTCTCAGAATACAGATGTATGAGATGTAAGTATATAGGTATATGAAATCGCGACTCATAGTACAATAATAAATAGAACAATTTCTCATTCAAGAATAAGATGAAATGTAGAATTATATTTTTGTGTTAGTTACATCAGCTATTACGGCGATTGTCACAAAAATACCGAAAACTTATATGTATTTCTTGGAAAAATATTGGTTTTACTAAACTATTATCTAACAATTATTCTTCACAAGTTTAAGACGAATTATTTTATGACCTAAAATGTTATTTAGAAATTAGTGACTAAAATTTAATGAGATGCTCATTATTTTATGATTGCTTTCGATTGTCTAGCTTCGATTATTATTATGAAAAAGTTCTTAGTCTGAAAACCAATGACATTCTAGAAAAATTAAGAAAAAATTCAATAATTAAAAGAAAACATTTTTTTATTATTTATTCTTTCATGGACAAAAAAATAATGAAGTTCTCTTGTACATCGGCAATAGAATTAAAAGTTAAAAATTGTAAAGGCACATCTGCTTAATATTTGAACAGAGGTTAAGAAGCAGATGTGTTTTCATCACGCAAATTAGTAGGAATTCACGTTACAGTACATATGTAATAAAAAACCAAGAGTTGGAAATTTTGATAGGAGTCACATTTTCCAAAAGGCGTCATTTCTGGAGACACTTCAATAACTATATATTCTTCTGCATACATCTTACACCATTTTCAGTTGCTTGTTTTATAGTGTACAGATATTCTTGGTACTGAATATTTCAACTTACCATCTCAGAACTTCTTACACTTTACACTTTACTGGGCCCGTTATGTCAAAGACGATTCAAATGTAGTTCCTTACTCCCAGTCAGCCGCCTTTTCTCTCATGTTTCATGATCTTATTAAAATCACGATATCTATATATATTGCCTTCTTATATCGCGAACTTGCCACGTACAGTTCTTGCAATTTTAGAAATTGTTATCGTACTGCTTTTTTGGCACATCTGTGGACGATGACCTGGGATAACTTATCATTCTCCACCACCATTTATGACAAGGTCAACTTGTCAACTCAATAAATATGCATACTCCTAAGCGTATAGCTCGGGTTCGGAGTGAACCAGTTGCCTGAGAAAGCGCAATTGCGCTTGTTACACCTATCCTTGGGTCAGCACTATCAAGTCCTTCTAAATGTTAAAGTCTGATAGACTCGCAAAAGAACGCCATTTCGCTTAACCGCTCCTCCGATGTTATGGTCTTCTTACCTTGTGCAAGGTATGTGCACTCCCAGTTTTTCCGAACGATAACTTAAATAATCACGTTGCTATATGTTTTTCAAATTCCGCAGGTATTGATCGTGATAAGCCTGATGCTACAAGAGCATTCGATTACCTCTCTCTTTTTTTTTTAAACACGCTATGCTCTGCATGATACTCGAAAATCTGTTCCCTTTCAAGTCAAACACTAAGAGCCCTGACTAAATTCTTTTGAGCTAATTTCATTTCCATTCCTTCAGTTATATATATCATCTTGGATATTTTCAACTCTTCACTTATGTACTTTATGTTTCTCCCTTTTGAAAGAAATCGCACATCCTCCCTAATGACCGAAATCTACATTGAAAGTCCCAATGCTGACAAATGGGCAGTGTTTGGTCCAGTTCTGAAATCGAGTTGAGCCAAGTGTTTGGGACCAAGCCTTGGGTTCTCAAAATTGGATTAAGCTTTGGCAAGTTCAGCTTGGATCAAGCCTTGGCATCCCAAACTCGGACCTAGCTTCAGCCAGGCATTGGAAACTAAACCGTGAAATCCCAAGCTGGGAACAAGATCTATTCTTTTAATTTTATACATAATTTCGTCACCTGCCCTACTCTATCCCGAGCAGAAAGGTTAGGCATATTTGATATACTATTAGGACCTGATCACGTATCTATAGGAGGCACCTTATCTGGCATACGCAATGTCATTGCGGTCAGAAATTGATTAGGTTTATGTAAGGAATCCCTGATGGAAAAATTAATGTTATTATATTATCAAATAATTTGTTTGAACAGTGTAACAAAACGTATATGTATAAGATTAACAAATCATGACCGATAACCATATAAGAGTTCTTCCAGGGCTGATATACTACTTTCTAACATATTCCCTGATGTTATTAATAATAGAATGAGTAACGTTGTTTTTGGTACTATTATGTATCTTATAAACGGAACTTCGAAATTAGAGTGATTGATGAAAAATAATTTAGCATATATGTATATTCCTTCTTTTATCTTGATAAAAGCCAACATAAATTCCGGAAGAAGAACTTAAATAATTTCTGTAATTTAAAAGAAGAAGTTTGAAATTCGTGATTTTTACGGGTTTTGTTGTTCTAGTGTTAATAGACAAATAGGTATTATGGCAGTCGACAAATTCTAGTATATCAAGACTGATCCCGTCTCCAATGGCATACATTTAATTTCGTTAATATAATGTTTGTAGAATTTAATGTGTACCATTCGATTGAGTAAGTCTGTAAGTTAATGTAAGTCCAGTTAAATTTATGCAAATATTTTTTTAAACTATATTTTTGTACAATTATTTTTGTCTGACAAACTTGACTGGAAGGTATCATTCAAAGCTTATCTAGGCTTACGCTAAGCCTGGTGACAATATGGCACGTCAACAAATGAGACAATGGCTTAGTGTTACTTGATTTCTCGTAACCGTTCCATATTATCGATCTTGCTCTCCTCTCGCGTGAACTATAGTCCCTTGGGGAAGTGAATTACTAAATAAATAATAAATAAACATTAAATAATAAGTCATGATTTTTCTTGCATGGCTGTACAGAGACAATTTTGGGAACCACAAGTATTCAAACAGAAATGTTCTGAACAAGAGCTTTCCATTTCTAAACATGATCTTTCTATTTCTGTTCAATCAGCCGAAAAAATTATATTTTCTTGAACCTCACGCAGGGTACAGGAAACTGTAGATCCAAACTCGATGAAAGAATGCTTCTTTTCTCTGTAAATTAATACTTTATGATCTAAACTTTTCAGATTTTTGATACATTATTTTATATAAAACTTACAGACATCTGTTTATAATTTTTATGTGAAAACAATTTTTATGAAATGTTTAGTGGAATAATTGCAATGGTTTTGAAACTATGAACTGAATCAAAATTCTAAAAAAACTAAGACTATAGAGTGTAATGGCCTCTTAAAATTCAAACGTGTATAACTCGAGAACGGGTTTAGCTACAGCCCCCAAAATTTGCAGGCATGTGCAGCTCTATAATCCCTTCATTGACTATCATTTTCGTTATGATTAAAGCTGCAGCTCGGATTTTATATCGTTTTCAAATTCCCCAAAAAAGGACGTTACGACTCTAGCGATCGCAAATTTTGTGATACTCGTCTAAATAGTTCTTAACAAACAGATTTGTATTCAAAGTTGCTTGGTATTGTGTTTGGGCCGAATCCATTAAGTAGTTTTCATTTTATGATATTTTGAATTTTTCGAAAAATCAACTTTATCGCTGTAACTAGCGCTTACTTCAACGAATCAAACCGCAATTCTCTGCAAGTATGAATTATCATCTAGCCGTAATAAATATGAAATTTGGCGAAGATCGGCCAAGCGGATCTAATTTTATAACATATCGAAATGTCGCGGTTAGGTAGTAAATGAAGATTCATCTATGAGGAAGCCAAAGATTAAGAAAAATGAAAATGCTTCCTCATATAGAGACTTCGTACACTACTTACGATTCGAAGGAAGTAAATTGCAAGTTTCAACTTGCGGGTTCTTTATCTTTTGACGCTACTTTCCCAACAGTCAGAAAGTATTTGACAAAGATGCTAGATGTTGATACTAAAACTATGATCAAATATCGACTGTCGGTAACATGGGCAGTGTTTATTTCTACATCTCACAGCCACATACCGAAATAAAAATTTCGAAATACTCACTAGTGCTATGGACAGTATGTAAACACAGAAACTTTCATTGATATTTAAAAGAAATTGCCCTAGAATTGAAGAAACTTCATATTATAAATAAAAATTATATTATTTTAGTGGAATGCCATTGGCAGCACGTGTTATAACGTGTTTTCGTTGTCGGCCCACGCATCCGTTACTCACTTATGTGCGACTTTGATATTTCGTTGCAATTTTATCATTTTTGAATATTCAGCCAAATCAAATTTCTCAAAAATATCAGACCCACGCTGTAAGAGGATGTCAATAGCTCCGTGTAGTTGTCCGTAGGTAGGAAGAGGCATAGTGATATTGAAAAAGATCATTGTATTTAGGGGCCGTTTATAGCGGTTCGAAAGCCAGGACGTTTTTCTCCCTGGAACAGCGCAGAAGCTGGTGGCTGTCTAGACCGAATAAGTCGACCAATCGAACCTTGAGGCATCGGGTATTCTTCTGGGAGCGGGCCTAAGCGTAATGAGCGTGGTCTGTCCAGCTCGGTTGGACAGACTGTAATAGTCGGGTAGTCGGGGCTTCAGGCGGTAAGGATTTTGTGGACGTGGTGCTTTGAGGGGGTGCTCACGTGCGAGAGGATACGAGCAGCCCCGAAGTGCAATTGGCCAATCCAATGGGAGATCCTCCAGATCTTCTCCAGAGACTTGCTGGGAGTGAGTGGAACATCGAAACCAGCTCTCTGTAATTCCGGGTCCCTTATGGGTAAGAGCTCGGCCGTACCAAGATTCGCGGGGGGAGTTCTGGTGATTTCGGCTCACGAAAAACTCTCAGAGAAGGTTAGTAACTTTACGAACACTCCAAACGTATACTTTATGTGGACGATTTTTAAATTTATCTGAGATATCAGCCAATAGGCATGTAGTGAAGCATTTCGACAGTTCAGAGTAATATTGAACTTATCTGTGAATAGATGCCATGTAATATATTGCATACGTATGGGTTGAAGACCTAGGTGATAGTGATTGGACATGCGTGCTTTATCTCCACCAATATGTTATGTCGGCCTCACGATAATTCATGGCCACGATGTTACGGCCTGACGTGAGTCGGCTGAAACAAAATTATTTAATTTTTGTTTACTAGGGTCGTGCCTCTGTAAAGTGCTAAATCGTACTTATCCGTGTTCTTTTGAGTTTAATTAGTATATAACAGCACATTACAGCTCGAAGCGATACGAAGGATCTTCTTATATCTACAGGGCATATGCAGTAGGAACAGTTATTCTTGTTATCTTTATGTTCACTGAAGATTCTTTCAAGTTCTTATCAAGTCCTATGCGTGAGTGACCGTTTGCGGGAGCATCAGGAAGATAGCATAGGTGTCGTGATCAAGGATCAGGCAAAAGGTATTGCTTTGGTATTTATATATAACGATATTGTAAAGGTAGGCTTCTTGCCACTTTAAGGTGCTAAAGCACGCATATTTGCATTTATGTTCCTTGGTCAATAGCTAAGGTGAAGATGACAATCAAACGATATATCTATGGAACTAACAGACTTACTTCTTCTACATGAGGTGTGCATGCCAATGATAAATAAAGAAATTATTTGGACTTAGAATTTAATAGTGATGGCTTAGGTTTCCAAATCGTGAAAATAAAACATGGCTTAGCATAGTATAATGAAACAATTAGTTTGAAATACAAATTAAATGATATAATCTGGTGCAAAGGAGATTATGTGTATCTACTAATGATGGGAAAATGAACAATAGTGTATGTGTGATCGTCAGCTTGTTTTGTTCGATTTACGAATGTTACATGTAAAGATTTAAATAGTGTGAGTTACTTACCGGAGGGTGAGCAGGGAGAGAGAGAGAAGAGCGGCAAGAGGTGCTCGACGATAGGGAGGTTGAACTTGTTGAAGGGAGGTTCTTCGCCCAGCCCTAAGGTGGACACTCGCACTAAACGAATGCTTTAAACGAAATGCCAAGAATTGAATTCTTTTTGCGTGAATGCCCGGCACTGAGGTGATGCACTTTCTGCTTGGCCCTAAGTTAAGCTAGGTCAAAATAGGCCTTAAGGTATTAGATTGACATAACACTGGACTGACGCGGACAATCGGCTCAAGACTCTGGAAGGGATATTCCTTTACCAGAGGATTGATTAGTAACTGGCGGCGATCGCTGTCGATGTTCGTAAGGAAGACTTTGAATTTGGATGAGATTGGGTGTATTGCCAGGAAGTTTCAGGAATTTGGATACGTGTTTTGGCGTTATCGGGGTTGTTGCACCAGATTGCCCATGCAGGTTAGTGCATTCATCGAATCATCTTGGATGTGAGGTTAGTGAGAGGACGGGAAAGGTAGTTGGTAGGAGTCCTGAATTGGCGGTTCTGCTGTGCCATATTAAAATGCTTTTTAGACACCTCACTTCTGGGTATTCCGTTCAGCATTAATATCCGTTCCATTTTCAATCCTTGTCTGTCGTAATCTCTCTCTCTTTCCTTCTGCTCATCCACTTTTAATGTCTTAGGTGTAGGTGTAACTTCTGGAAATATGAGAGAGTGTGAGATGTCGTGTATAATCTAATGATTTCCCTTAATTATTATAATCTATAAATTATAGTAGGTAACGCACGTTCGTCGAGGGTCAGTTACCATCGTTGTGGTCCTTGACCTTTTGCTCTTTAGAAAATTGAGTTCAAATTTTTCACGAAAAAATTCAATTATTTGCAATTAAATTGCACTTTGTTATTAACGTTTTGGAGATTATTGAAATTCAATCCCTGAAGGGAAATATTGAGAAAATGTGTACAAAACTTCATTACGATTGGTTAATTAGTTTTTGAGTTACCTTGCATGCCAATTTTGAAAATGTAATTAAAAAAATAAAATTATTTTATTTCGACAAATAAAAACTCTGTAAAACGACTAACCGTCTAATCAGCGATTCCTGCGCCATACAATAACCCTTCCAGCCAGTTGAGTCTCTCTTTGAGCTTTTCGAGATTCTTTTGATCAAAAACTACTGTGGGGGTTCTGTCGAGCAATTTACTTATTATCGAAGTCTTCAGCGTGCGACCTACAGTGGCACCCGATGACTAACAAGGAAGGCACCTTAGATACCCCTCCGATTTCGTTCATTTTGAAATATGTTATTCTCCATCAAATGTGTGTTTTTTTATAGGCGGAAATCGACCTTTCTCGGAGTTCAGCATATTTCCCATCGAGATAAATGGGATAAATTGGAAGATAATCCTCACGATGAATAATGAAAATGCATTTTAGTTGATCCTGGTGGGATGAATGCATGAAAATTTATAGAGGTTGAAAAATAAGAAATTTTTATAACAAAAAATCATCGATTCCATTTTGATGAAACTAATTGCATTTGAAAATATTTAAAAAAAAGTAGGAGATACATGTTTTTGCATTTTTCGAAAAAATGTCGCTCAAGGGTGAACCATCCCTATGCCGGTGCAACCAATTTCTCATTAAAGTGGCATTAGTTTCTTCAAGTTTGTCCCTAACTCTAGTTAATGCTTAAGAATGCTTCTGTTACAGGAAAAGCAGAGGACCGCGCTGACATATTCTAACCTACCTTATTACACATGCTCTAGTACGGTTCCATCATGTAGACCAATTATAATGGATTGAACAAGTTTTTATTCTTACTGTATAAATTCTGTCCGAGTAGTGAGTGGTTGAAATATAATCAACTGACAGTAAATATGACATCGACTTACTTAATACTCGAAGGATTTATATTCCTAAAATGCATAAATATTTGTTCATATTCAAATAAATGTTTATTTAATATAAATAAGTTTTCTCAGAGTAGATACCATGGCCTGGATCTGCATTATATTTAAATAGTAGATTAAAACACACCGTCAGTTGTAATACGCTGTTGTAACTCTGAACTTCGTCCTACCTTATTTTGGCTCTAAATACCCACATTGATCTAGGATTGACATCACATTGGTCAAAGCTTGGACAAAGGCTGGGCCTTAGACCAGCCCTGAGTTTCAATGCAGGGTCAAGAATTGATGCCAAGCTTCGGTCGATATTATCATTTCGAAATTCGCCCACACTTGCGCCATGTCAAATTTCAATGACGTCCAAGGTTTGACTAGCATTGGCTCAAGCCTAGATCAAGATTGCGCCATTTTTTGACTCCTACATCGTGTTGTGCCTGAACATCTCGGCAACGGAGGAAGTTCGGCTCGAGAGGTTAGATTAAAGAGATTTTTAGGATCGTTACCGATTAAGGAGTTAAAACTCGCGTGAATATAATAAAACGGTAACAATTTATTGAAACAAAACAAGAGCGATGATACAGTTGATTGACGTTCGTCGACTTAAAAATGAATAAGTGCAGTAATGTATTTCACTATCTTCTGTACCAAGACTACTCCTCGAAAATACCTAATCCGTTCGGATTCTGACTGTAGGTTAGGTTAGTCCTTTTTTCGTGGGTACAGCCATAAGCTGCACTTCCGAAAATATGTCGAATGGGCATTTGCAAGTTTGCGAGTCGGAGCTATCAATCGCCAGCATGTTTGCCTTTCTGACTTAGCGCATTCATGCACGTGTCGAATGGACGGCCTGGCGATCGCGCTGTCCGTGGGGCCAGGAGACTCTCGGCACATCAATCGAATGCCGGAGCAATGAAAATACGTTTTGATGTTTTAGTGGTTTTAAAACGACTAGTTTTCATTTTTCTTAGAGATCGGATTAGAGACTGAACGGTATTCTTATTCCATAATACGACTAATGTAGTAAAGTCATATTTATATTATGACTTGTAGTGCATTTCCTGTCCTATGTTACTCTGATGATCCCAACACTGTGCTTCGCGGATCCTTCAGGCGTCAGGTGCATCTGTGCAGCAGCTCACTTCATCGGGCCTTTAAATTTATAATTCGCAATACGTCAACACTGGGAGTCCTCTCGGCTGGTCCTTTCCGCTAGCTCTTAATTAACCATGGTAGAGGGGAACGTAAAGGAGGGCGAGTATTTATAGGAATCAGCCGGTTTCTCCGAAATGAATAACATGGTGGGATTTAATTCCGACAATTGCGATTTATTCGCTCTAGGTAAACGAGTACAGTCGGGTAGTGTATACGAGCGGGATTCTAGACAATTCTGACAAATAACGTGGCTACGGAGATCGTCTGTCTCTTTGGAGCACGTTCCGAATCTTCTACCGCGAGAACACGTGGCGGGGCACGTGGCCGCCCACTCCTCCTGCTAGGATGCACCAGCGGACGTGCTGCATCCCCTACCGATGTGTTGCGCTGCCCCGGGGTGATAATCTGGATTGCACTTACCGATCCTCCCGGTGCACTTTGTCTCACCCACGGTCTTACATACAGGTCTGGAAACTTGGGCCATTTTAAGGTGGTGGGGGTACATCACTGTCCACGTTTTAAATAGTTCGCTTCATAACCATGCCCATCGCTTTGATCATGGCATGTCGGACCCGTCTGTGTACGTCAGTTGTAGAAAAGAGATGCATATAGGTTAAATATCGTTTTCTCACTCTATCAAAACAACATCCAGTGACCGTCGCGACTCTTGCGGACAACAAGGAACTATAGAATCTGTGGACACAAAGCGATGCACCCCACACCCCTAGAGTTTCATGACTTGTATGTAAGATCGTGGTCTCGCCTCTCGTGGTTGCCGGCTCCCCTGCAGTTGGCCGGTCTCTCGCGCACTTTCTCTTACTCCACCGGTTCACACTCTTCGCATAAATCACCATCGAGGCCCAGGGAAAAGCCAAGCCGTCAATAATCCAAATTCAATCCGCACACAAACAGAGAAACAAAACTCGCGATAGCGGACTCGAAAAACCGTCGGGTCTTCTCGTTACACGGTTCCTAATGAAGATGATCTTTCTTCGGCATACCGGTCCGGGGATTACCGAAGAGTCCCGAATTCACCCAAATTAGTTTAATCGCTCTCGCCTCGGTTCGGTTTTCGCTCTCGGCGCCACTCTCGCCGCGCGATCTCCATCTTTTCGGCGCTCACAACCCGCCAGTCTTCGGGCGGCACCGAGTTTTTCCGAGCCTCCTCGATGTCCGGGTTCAATGCTGCTGGTTCCACTCCTCGACTCCCTCTCGCCACGATCCTCAGCTCTCGTGGGTATTCTATCGGCAGCTCTCTTCGGCGATACAGCTCTCCGTTTTCTTACGCTTTTTATGGAACGGGCCGTCCCGCGAACGCCACATTACTGACTAGAAAAAATAACCTTATCCTTATCAGCCTAATTTTGAATTTCTTAGTTTTAACTTTAAATTTAACTAGAGCATTATCGAAAACCCCAGTATATCAAGTTTCATGGTATTTTATATAATAATTTTGAAATAAAAGGGTGAAGAAACACATATAACACCAGGTGTTCTAAAATTGACTCCCTTAGCAACACTCTATCCTTTGTAACAAAAATGTTACTGTAAATTCCTCCTCGCCACCTGGCTCGAGGGCACCACTGGCCCCGAGCACGATCATTGCGTATATTATTGATAAATACTGTTTGTTACGTATATTAAGCGTTTTAGGTCGATTGTATTTAGTGTAAGATCCCTTCCCTCCACCCTTTCCTCCCTGTCCCCATCCCATAGGGCACTAGCTCGGAGTCATCGAGGACCACCAACGCAGACCTTCTTCGAGGACCTGTCTCCAGGGAAGGATCGCGAGAGTGGCTACGTTGCCAAGGCAGCGGAAGGCAGGGAAGGCATGGGCAGTGAACCAGCTGATCGAGATCCGTGGGGATGATGGCCATCCAGATGCTCAACCATCACGAGTATGCAGCCCCGGTGCAGTTCCGTCACACGGGTAGTAAAGAGGCCCGTGTGACAACGGTGGAGCCCTCTCCCTCCAACTCCGCGGACCTGCCCGGGAGGATTTTGACAGGCCTGGAGGCCGCCCGGTGCGTGACAGCCAGCCCATGGGCCGGCGAAGCCAGTGCCGTGCCATCCGCTTGCAAGGTCCTGGAAGGCCTGCCAGCGGAAACAACAAATTCCCTGCAGTGCCGGAACTGCCAACCAATGATGAAGCGCGTAGCCCTCTCGGCCCAGCGTACGAACCAATCCCGGAGGCCCTGGAGGCCCATCGAGGGAAACATCGACAAGCGGAAATCTGCATATCACCACTTCCAGCCAGGGTACCGTTAGCGATAGAGCGATTTGCAAATTTTAGTGAGAATGAGTTTTTGAGTGCGATCTGGGATTATTGTGTCGAGTTTTCCGGAACTGCTGAGTGAGTATTGAGTAATTACGTTTTCCTTTTCCCTTTCCCTACCCCCTTATCTATTTGCGCTTTGAGATTTAATAGATCCCTTTTTGGATTTAGCGAGCCGTCCCCACGTGGATCGGCTTTTTTGTATTTCGAGTAGTTTCTTTTTTTGTATTTCAGACGGGCCTTCCGCCCAAAGTCTCGAAGCCCATGGTGTGTTGCGTCCCTTTCTAGCGACCCTCCATACCCTCCTTTTTCCCACCCCTCGTTTATTTTGAGTTTCATAACCGAGGTATTTATAAGTAACCGGGAACCTTCCACCCCGAGATCTCCTCACCTCTCCACCGTGCTAGTTGTGCCTTTTGAGATTCGTGTAAACATTTGAGGACCTTCCAAGATCACTGGACGGTACTACGCCGAATAAGTAGCTGGCGCTCAGATATTGTTTGCGTGCTATTCCGTGCCGGTAACTCATCCCTGCCCCTGCTGTCCCCCTTATCCATAGCGTATTCCTCCGTCCTCTTCCTCATCAAGTCCATTTAAATCTCTTTGACACCGCGTGCTCCCCAGCGAGCACCCGCGTGCATTGTTTTGTTTCCGTGTATCGAGAAGTTATCGAGTCATTACATTTTGAGTTGCAATATTCCTTTTTATTTTATTTTCTGTAATTTCTTGTACACCGGTATTTGTTCTCTTAATTATATTTTGTTACATATTCCACACCGTGTTCCCTTTACTTTTCGAGACCCTCCCCGTCGTTGCGATAGCTAATTTGAGTAGACCCTCGATAATTACCAGAGCCCAGTACGTCACATCTTATACAGTTAATTAAACGATTGGGAAGATGTTGACAAATCGTATCTCAGTTCTAGGCAATCATCGGAATATTTTCCTAGAAACTGGAGAAGGTAGATTAGGTAGTTTTTATCGAAAATGATGGGACAAACCTGATTTGTGTTTGACCAATCTATGTATACTCTTCAAACTCTAATCAAGAAATTTTTTATAGAGTGATCTATCCATAAACTGATCAATATTTTAACTAATAACTAGCCAAGATAAACTAGTTTATGTTCGTCTAAAATGATAGGACAAATACCCATCAGTTTTTGACCAGATTTACTTGCCAAATACTAGCAAGTTGTTGCAATCTCTAGCAAGATTATAGTCAGTCACGAGTCTCGATTTCTAGTCGGGTCCGCCTATCTGCACTCGTTCCGCTATAATGCTGTCACTTTGTGGAACTCGTTGTCAGAGAGCATTTCATTGATCCTTCACTAGCTGTCTTTAAAGGG